TCTCCTATTGTATTTAACTAACCAGTAAAAATTATATTAAATAAGCGTAACTTTTCTCATTTTAGATGTCCAAAAAGTTTAGCATTCAACATACGATCGTGATCTGTGCCTGGAACGCCGATTGGTGGGTTCAGTTTGGTTTTTTTCTTTTTGTCTCCTCAGCACTGCTTCCCACTGAGGAGCTGAATCAACCATGTCATTCTCTTGTCGTAACCTTTACAAAAATTAACATAATGATAACTATTAGAAATTATGAGTTCAACAGATGTGAAAAGTGCCAGATTGGGAAGATAATCTTAATATTCTGAAAATTTAATCCTGAGCACAGACAATGTCACAACATGACTGATTCTAGTAGCTAGAGGTTTAAGAAAAATAAATATATTACTCTAATGAACTAGCTAGCCAGTACATTTAATTTTATTTATTTACAAAACAAATATCTCCTTCAGTCACAGACTCAAAGTGTCTTACAACCAGTGCAATAAAATAATCCCAGTAGAATAGCAACCAATACCTATCAAACCAGAAACCAGTTATTAATTTTTTAAAAAGGTAACAAATAAAAACTAACCAAAAGGATCTGCAGAATGGCAGTGTTTTAACTGCTCTTTCGGTTGTTGAATGAATAGAAAAGGAGAGAAAAATCCAAACAGAAAACCCAACAAAACCCAACATACAATTTCATGTTGTGACAAACCTAAACCCAATTCCATCTTAGTAGTCAGGCATATCCACACGAAATCTATATTTTTCAGACTGATTTTTCAAATGATCCAGCATTTCCTTGATGAAAACCATTGATGAAATCAATTCATAGACACTTGGTTGAGTTGTGTAAGATACTGATTGCTCAGTTTGAATTCCTTCATTAGGAACTACCCTCTCCCGTATCCAAAATGTCCTCTGGATTTTGTCTCCAAATTGCAGGCAAGGAATCAGTCTTCACATTAGGTTACTTCCCTGCATTGGTAAAACATTCTTAAAGATTCAGCTTTTATTAAATATAAAATAGCTACCAACATTTCTGGTTGTTTTAAAAAACAACTAATCGCTTCTGATCTTTCTGTTTAGTTCTTTAATGCATGAAATCAGCTGGAGCCTGGAGAGATTTAATCCTTTTGCCTTGCCTGAGCAGGTTGCAAGCTGCTTTCATCTCTGCTTTTTAAATGAAGACTGTGGGAAAAAGGCATTTTTTCCCCCAAAGATGAACATAACCATAACACTCATGGGGGGATATTCAGAGTTTAAATTACTCATAATTCTGGACTACTTCTAATACATAACAAAAGGGAGTTTGGCAACCTCCCCTATTTACAGGAGAAGAAATACAATCTCCCAATTTTTTCAAGTGAAAATTAAGTAGCCAGGAAAATATCATTCATAGAAGCAATTTTTATTTACACCATAATCTGTAAATTAAGTATAATATGCATTTGTATATGTTTCACTTTGAGAGCGGGCAACTAAATTTCATTTTTTATGTGTGCCATTGTGCCCACAGTATAAAAATAACAATAAAGGTTATCTTATCTTATCTTATTTTATTTGGTTCAAAATTTGTGCATAATTTTTTAGTCACCTGTGTCTCTTCTTCCTATGTTCCCTATTAGAATTTTCTGATTCACTTCCACTGCTGGTATTGCAACGGGATCGTGATCTAAAAAGGAGCAAAACAGAATGACATTAGCAAAAAATAAATCATAAGAGTATTCTATCCATCCATCCAATTTTATATGGCCGCCCATCGCAGGTGACATACAATAAAGGCAACAATTAAAACACTTTATACAACCACTTTACTAATTAGACATAAATAAGAACAAGATTGCAAGATGGTTATATGTGGTGCAGCCAACGTGTGGGTTCCCTGCTGCCAGGGGATTCCCAGGCTTGATGAAAAAAAATGTTTTGAGTCCTTTCCAGAAGGCCATAGGGACAAGCTGACTTCAGCGGGGATGATATTCTAATGCAGGGGTGTCAAACTCAATTTCATTGAGGGCCGCATCAGCATTGCGGTTGCCCTCAGGGGGCCAGGTGGGTGTGGCCAGGGTGGGTGTGGCCTGCTAGGTAGGCGTGGATGGGTGGGCAGGAGTGGCCAGGGTGGGTGCAGCCTGCTAGGTAGGCCTACTGGGTGGGCAGGAGTGGGACAGATCTGAGGGTCTCCGGCAGAAGGGGGTGGGACCAGGGCAAGTGCCAAGGCATAGTCCACTGGAGGAGCCTCACTGTTCCTCTCAGGCCATGCGGGGGGGGGGGGACTGGATGGGTTTGTTTTTGTTTTAAAAAATGTTGTGAGCCGCCCTGAGTCCTTCGGGAGAAGGGCGGGATACAAATTGAATAAAATGAAATGAAATGAAATGAATGGTGGTGCGGGCTGCCAGAGCCCTGGGCAGCAGAGATCAAATGCCCAGCCTGGCCCTTGAACACCCACGGCACCAAACCCAGCCCCACTTCCTCAAGGCTGCTGCTGAAGGTTCTCCTGGTTCCTTGCTGTTTCCAGACAGCCTTGTGGAGCTAAGACTGAATGTGTTTCAGCATATATGGCCACCACAAAATTGTACATTGGCTCTTGGCAGGCCTGGGCCAGGGCCAAGGCAACAGGGGCCATTCCCTCACTGTTTCCAGGATGGCTTCGCGGGCCACATGACACCACTTCGCGGGCCGCATCCAGCCCCCGGGCCTTGTGTTTGACATGTCTGTTCTAATGGGAGGGTGCCATTGCAGAAAAGGCTTGTCTCCTAGGTTCCATCAGATGGAACCCCTTAGCAGACAGGGCCTGCAACATGCCCCTGCTGCAAGATCTGATGGGACAAGTAGATGTAATTGGGGATAAACAGTACTTCAAATGAACTGCACCTAGAATTGCAAACTGGCAGCCAGTGCAGCTCACAGAAGTGTAATGTGTGTTCTCCTAGACCTAGGAGCACACATTACTGCCTGTGCCACTGCACTGTTCACCAGATGAAGCTTCTAGATACTCTTCAAGGGCAGCCCCTTCTAGAGTACATAATTACGTCAAATTTATACATTTGGAAAAGGAAATAATGAGGTTTTCCCTATGAAACAATAACTATTATTGTCATTACTAATTCACTTTCAGTATTATTAATGTTGCATTGCCCTGGAAACCAAAAGTGTTTACAGATGCACAATTAGGTGACTTGAAAAACTTCGATTATCATTCACCTTGTTAGCAAACGTAGCTGATGACTGTCAAAGGGAAAAAAAGAATCAAAATAGACCTAAAGAAACCCTAAATTTGCATTAGGAAAGAAGTAGAAAGAAAACGTAAATAACCACAGTCTTAGAAAATTTAAGGTCAGGTCCCACCTTCTTCTGAAAGGCTGCGCAGGCTCATTTTCACTTCCGCCCGAAGGATGCCGTCGTGAATGGGGAAACTTTGGTGATCTAGTTCGGTCACTGGGAGAATTATAAAGTCCACTAGGGTCAAAGAAGAGTAAGAATAAAAAAACATATCACTTTACAATGGCTATCATAACACATTTTCAGTAGTCCTTGACTCATGATCGATTATTATTTAAAGTTATGATGGATTTTAAAAAAAGTACTTTCGATCCATTATCAAAGTTATGATTGCTGCACCACCCCTGTAATCATGCAATCACATTTTGAGTGTTTGGCAATCAGCTCACATTTACGATCAGTTACAGCAGAGGTCCTGGCTGGGGAATTCTGGGAGTTGAAGTCCACAAGTCTTAAAGTGGCCAAGTTTGAGGACCCCCCAGTTACAGCATCTCAGGGTCATGTGATCACGTTTTGCTACCTTTTTGCCATTTTCCAGCAACAAACATTCATTGCATAAGATGGATTTGGACTTATGACCACATGACGTGGTTAGCTACTATCATAAAAATGTTTGTAAAATTGAACCTGGTCACATGGTGACTCAATTACCAACCACAATGACTTATGAACAAAATTCTGGGCTCGGTTCTGGTTATAGGTCGGGGATTACCTGTAGTTTTATTTTACAATTACTTTATGAATAGAAAGTATTGGTATTTTCTAACCTAACAAATACACTTTTCAAAAAGTGTACAGTCAAAAAGAGGGTGGTGATTCTACTACTTTGGGAAAATGAATACAGTGCACTGAACTCTTCCCCAAACTTATATATGTGAGGAGCTCTAAAGACAGAACATGAAAAATATTTAGAAATTTACACAATATGATAGAAGATATTTTTTCATTAAGAATAGCATTGTATTGCAAGACTTCCTTATAGTACTAGGAAAAAACTCATCATTCCTAACCAGCTATGCAGAGATAACAGACTTAACAATTTGCATATTCTTTTTACAGTTAGCTTTCATTAGAACAATTTCCCATAATTATTAATAACAGGATAAGAAAAACTGCAATTAGCAAATAGACTAGTGAAATAATATTTGAGAAAGACCCCTTGAAATTTATTTTTCCAATGTCATGCTGAAGATTTTAAGAATATGCACTGTTCTGTCTCCTCCAAAACCGTAAGCATTTATAATTCCTGAGACAGAAATATTGGTCTTTTGTCAACATGTAATATCTATGAAATTGATTTCTTCAAGGTGAGCTGAAAGCTTGTAAAATAGTTGCCCAAGCTTTCTTTGCAGATCCATACAGAGGTGATGGAAAGAATGGGAGAGTGGAAACCCTTTGCAACCGTCATTTTGTACAGAAATCTCACATATAAATGAAGGGAATTATAACTGGCTTGGCTCCCCACCTCTTTTGTTCTTCCTTTATCCCTTCACCCCAGAAAAGTCAGTATGTTTTCACACTCTTAACCTTTGGAAATAACAACAACCGGTAAAAAAGAACAGCTACTTGAGGATGGGGTCTAGCTATGTAGTAAACATAGCTAGATCTTCCCTCCTTCCGCCGCGCCCTCAAGACATGGTTATTTAAGTTAGCAGGACTGGCCTAAGGGTTATTTTAATTTGGTTTTATTCGGCCTTAGAATAATATTTCATTTTAATTAATATTTTAAATTTTGTATTTTTGTATTCAAGTATTTGTTTTTAAATGGCTGTAAGCCGCCCTAAGTCCGTAGGGAGAAGGGCGGGGTAGAAATACAAGAAATTAAATAAATAAATAAATAAATAAATAAATAAATAAATAAATAAATAAATAAATAAACAAACAAACAAACAAACAAACAAACCCATTTCAAATCTCGGTATCAGGTCTTAGCAAGTGATAAAAAGACACTAATTTTAAGACACTAGAAATATGACAGCCTTTCCCTCAACCTATGGCTCTTATTAAATAGTAAGGCACCTCTATCATTCAGAGAACTTCCTTTTACTTACCATAATCTCTCTTTACTATTGTGTCATCAACATTTAACTAACATACTTTTGGATATAACACTAACCTAGGACTTTTTAACAAAGACTGTAAATGGTTTAAGAAACTAAGTTTGCAGTAATCATGATTTGTTATAAAATGTGGATTGTTTTTGCTTTGCTCTGCCAATGTGTGGATGGCATTCCAAAAGCTCTTAGTCACAGGCACTTCTTTGCACAAGCTAAGTAAACTTTTTTTCTTAAAACTAATGCAGATCCAGCAGTAAAAATGAAAAAAAAATCCAACTTGGGTGGGATTACCATAAATAATTTATTTTAGTCACCTTTTATTCTCTTCAGAGTGTATTATTTTACACCCTGTGGTAGCAATCATCAGGAAATCCTATTTAAAACAATGTTTACTGAGATTTCATAAGGACATTGGGTTCCCCCCCCCCTTTCTCTTTGCAAAAGATATAAGCATTCTGGTATGGAAAGAACTCTAGATAAAGGAGGAGTTGCTTTGCTAAAGATTCACTGCCAGGAAGAATGTCAGCAATTATTGTTTGGGAAAATTCAAGAGCAGTTTAAATCTGAGAAGTTAGACACTGCAGAAACAAGGAAAAAGTGAATTTGTTTGTAAGCTCAGAAACAATGGGCTGAAGCAAATCAGGACCTGTCAACTAAGTCAAGCAATGCCTTCAGTTTGGATTTAGTAAAGATTCAGAATGACCTTAATCTAAGCGAATCAACGTTTAATTTAAGCAGATTTTGAGTTAGGATGATCGCACAGAGATACCTGCAAACACATTACTTCTAACACCATGTGTATACTTTGTTCAAAACACAAGCATACCTTTGAGGACAGTTTTCTTCCCATGGTGCACTGGTTTTACTTCTTTGGGTTTCTGGGCTGCTTTCATTTCTTAACTTTTTAAAACTGGTAAGCATTAAAAGAAAAGGAATTTAGAACTACCAACCTGTGGAAATAAGTAAGCATAAATCTCACATCACAAGCTTAGATATTTATTTCTAGGGAATTTTCATAATGAACCATTTTTGTCACAATTATCTTGGGGACTGTTCAAGTGTAGATATTGTTCAAGCTGAAATGACTGTTCAAGTGATACAAAATACTATATATTCTTTTTTATACTGTACATCAGAGTGAGACAGAACAACCCATGAAATCTATCTATTTTATATGTAAGCTTTTAATTTGTTTAAGTCATCTTTGCAAACTTTGTCACTTTTTTTTTAGGATTTTGATAATGTAGTAGGATAGATTGGGTGAGCAGTCACTCTCTTCCACACAATAGGCTACATAAGTATAATCCAAACTAGACTATTGTCAGTGTTGGAATGAAAGCTAGGCATCTGGAGCTGAGATGTGCATCCATATATAGACAGGCAGAAACAGCAAAGAACTGACAAGATCAATGGTCTTGAAGATTGCTGAGAGAACCAAGACAGTTGCACCACCATTAATCTGCTTCTCCAGATGTCATTATAAGTGCACTCAATGCTGTCTCCATACTATCCATCCTGAGCATTAACTGGAAGGGGTCCAGATAATCCACTTCCTCCAGGGTCTCTGAAGATGCAAACAGACCACTTTCTCAACAATTTTCACTGAAAAGGGAAGACATTATCTAAAACTGTTGGGTCTACTCACTGCTTCATGAAGAAGGCATACCTCCCCCTTTTCAAGGAAGACAGAACCACGTGGACTCTTTTTCCCCATCATAAACTTCACTATTTCTATTTTCTATTCTACTTTCTATCTACTTTTTCCTATACCTAATGAAGGTTTTTCTACTTCTCATATAATTCTGCCTGTTTCTTGAAAGCAAACATAAATTCTTTCATTCTTGCTCTTATATTATTCCACAATATTATATATCACATTGAAGGGGCCAAATGATCTTCAGCCAAATAAATATTTAATTAGATAAAAAAACTGTGTGAAATTCTATGATTGCGTTTAGAAATCTGATTTGTGACTTCATTATAAAGTATATATAAAGGTCGCCAACGGTTTTATAAATTATTGAGCGTAGGAACAAAAAATGAAACTTTATTCTATTTCTTCTTGCATTAATTCTGCTATAATTCTTATTCTGATTGTAATTAAAATAATTATTTCAGTTTTATTCATGAGCATCTAGTATGTCTATTCAACCCCCCAAAGATTTTCCAAATCCAAAAAAGGTTTATGTTAAACCTAGCATCAAGTTAATTTTTCTTAAAAAGAAATCAACGGGTCATTTTTTTAAGCTTTAGATTCCCAGATGCTGATGATACCATTTTTTTTTCACTTCTTTTATCAGTACCTTTTAATTGGTGATGGAGCAATAATTTTGGCTCTTTCTTCATTTTCTCCAGTTTCTTTGTATGTAATAACCTGACTTGTACAATGTGACCCTGAAATGAAAAAGAAAATGTCCAATGTTTCAAACTGTTACCATTCTCTTGCACTTTGGGATATATCTTTTACTATATATTTTCATTCAATTATATTCTCAATCTCTTAAGATCACAACTGTTACATATATTTGTTATCCAATCATCTCAACTTAGCCAGCACAATGGTTTTTCAATTAAAACCTAAACTACTGATATTTCAAAAATACCAGCAAAGATAGCCTTAATGCTTCAATTAAAAAAAAAACTAAAATACTCAGTACTTATGCAACAGATTTTTTTCCATTTCTCCCATAAGAAGCAATCTTTCCAATAGAAAAATAGTATTTATAAACTAAACACTTCAGCATTGTAACAATAGGGAGAACACAAAAATAACAATACTAACTGAATATGTAAAAATTTGAATTAGATTTTTTTAAAAGTATCTGGACACTATGTAAAAGGTTCTTTTATGCATATAATGTTGCATACTCCTTAAAGCTTAGCACATGGTGTTAGGAACCTTGTTTCAGCCCTACAGAGTAATAACTGAAATATTGTAATTCACAAGACACATCTTTATTGTATAATGAACAGGGGCAAACTATATTAAATAGAAATGCTAACAGCATTAAAACAGCCTTCTACTATAAGAATGAATCTATTACACACGATCCCACTACAATATAGCTTGATATTTGGAGGGTGTCAGGTTGCCTACGTTTCTGAATCATTAAGAAAAAACACTTCACTTGATATAGTTTCAAAAAGTCATTTAGTAAATACCCAAAGTCATTTCAAAGAGGCATTATGAAAAAGTTGCACATAAATTTCCAGAAAGGTAGAAAATATATATTTCAGGATAAGACATTTAGTAGATAAGTTGTCCAAAGTGATTAATTACTAACACACACACACACCCCAGATAGTTACTAAAACTATTATCAGATGGAGTGGCAATAGAAAGAGAGGCCACTGGATTTGGGGAGCAAACAAATTTAAATAAATAATCAAAGTATTAATACACACAGTCTAAAATTTGCATAAGTATTTAAATCTCCAAAACTATCAAATAAAAAAAAAGTCCTAAAAGTAGAAATCAACCGTGGTCGAAAGCCAGAAAGTGGCTATGTTACTATATCACCTAAGCCACAGTTTATTTAATTGGCTGCATGTGTACAATATGCTCAGCTAAAATGAAACAAATTGGCTTAGTCCAATCTGAAAACTTATTGATTGGATTATTGATTGGAAAAGAAATGTGTGATGGAGGAAAATGTATTGCTTATACCAGGGGTAGGCAACCTTGGCTCTTTTATGACTCGTGGACTTCAACTCCCAGAATTCCTGAGCCAGCATGGCTGGCTCAGGAATTCTGGGAGTTGAAGTCCACGAGTCATAAAAGAGCCAAGGTTGCTTACCTCTGGCTTATACATACTGATTAGCTACGGTTCTGTACCCCTGATACAAGTAGCATATGCTACAACATTTTGTGTAAGTCCCATTTTGTTTTCTTAAAACTTCTTTAAAAACATTAATGTTGCTTAATAAAAAGGTACTTATTCCCACAACCCAGATATTTACAATATGCTCAAAACAGTGACTTTGGAACAGCCAACTGGTTGACTAGATGACTTAAAAGGTTCTCCTTTTTTCCCCTCTCTTTTTGATGCTGACAGAATTCCATTTTGAGAATTTTTTCTGCATGTAGCCCAGCCCCCTCTGGGCTAATTAATATAGTTAAATATTACATTTAAATTTAAAAATACAGTAGTACCAGCTATAAAAATCCACATATTATCATACAAATAAAAAAGAAGCTGCATCAAAATACTGGCTGCTGTTCTGGTGGCCTTTTTCAATGGCAGAAAGCCCTGAGGCTCTACTTCATCACCAACCTCTGCCAAAAAATGCCACTGTGCAGGGTGGCCAAAAGGGAAGAGATCAGGGGAAGAGATAGGTGAGTGGGTGAGTTGCACTGTTACAAACACAGAGTTTGTAAGAGCAGGCAAGCTGCCAAGTGGCCACATTTTTATAATGTAACTATGGGTATGCTGCAATGCCATATTATTTGGGCATGGGTCATAAATCCATTTTGCAGCAGCAACATAATTTCAAACAGTCTCTGAACAAATCATTAAATTGAGGATTTTGCAAAGGATCGCTCGTTGTTATCAAACCTATTGCTACAAGATACAGTTAACAAACAATTCCTGAAAATGACAAGAAAAGGAAGTATGCAAACTTAAATGTTGTAAGTGATTTCAAGTGCTCTCCTTATCTGGAGAGGTTTGAAGAGCTGATCTAATGGCCTGCTCTTCATACTTTGCTGCAGTGGTCAGTTCTGCTTTTCACAGAACTATCTTAAATCCGCCTTTTCTTCCTCCTACAAACTTCGATCCCACACTTTTCTTTTTTGCTCTCTTAAGTTTCTTTTTATCAACCTCGGTTTTAGAAATTGTTAATCTTCCTGTAAAATGGGATTTACACTGTATTTACAAGCTCATACTGAATAAAAATAGTAAATACTAATAATAATTTTATTAGGTACATAATAGAGTCAGGCATATTAAAAATTCTGTTCAAACAATATATTTGACTTTATTCCACAGAAAAGGGAAATAAATGTGTATATTTTTAAAACTGTGTATATTATGTTTTAGCTTTAAAGGGTCTTTAAATAATATCACTAATTTCTTAAATTTCTAACAAAAAAAACTAAAAGGCTTCTCTAGTGCTGGGCTAAACAATTTTTTCCCCTCTAGACATAGCTGAATTCCAACTTTCCAAAAGCTCAGCTAGCTGAACCATTCATCAGAGGTGAGGCGAGTTACAGTCAATCAACTGGAGTAGCTCTACAACCAAGTCAGCTTCAATTTTATAATTTTAGCAAACTATTCACAAAATACACTAAATGGCAAAAACAATTAAATGGATTCATTTTTATTAGTAGATGACAAATATTGTTTTACTAACTATGAAACTAAAAAAAATGATAAATGAGACTTAGCTTACAGAGGAGAGTTTACTTTCTTTATAGCTTGATAAATGCAAAGTATTAGAAAAAAGAGCCTTCCAAGAGTCATTCAAAAATACAATATTCTTTTCTCAGTTCCACATACCATAAGGGTTGAAAATAATATTTTTCCATTTATTTATATAAATACTTGCGGTTTAATTTGTAAATGGCTACAATTTATAAATTGCATACCAAAAAATTGGAAAGGCTCCAAATGGATATTATTTATTTTAAACAATTAAATATAAAGCAGCCAGTATAAATAAGGATTATATTACAAGACTGAGAATTGCTTGTCAAAGCTCTATTAACAACTGAACTTTTAGAAAGAATTGAATGGCATATCTATCCTACACGATAAATTGAAAGTAGCCTTATTGTACTACTTTTAAAGCATCCAACACTAATAAAATATATTTACTCCATCAATTTGATATACATCTTTGCAATATGGAAGATGTGTTTAATTCTCCATACTATGAAGATGGTTTAGATTTATGCCACTGGTGACATTTTAAAATCTTTTCGTATTTTACAAATTTGCTGCACTTTGGAAATTTACACTTTGTAAGAGAAGGCCTGTGATTTAGACAAATGTGAAACTGATATTGTTTTAATCTACAAAAATGCAGATAGTGAATAGGTCTGACTGGTCCAGTAAGCACTATTTATGACCAATGAAGCCAATATGTCAATCTCAGTCTGATGATCATTTTGGTTTCCCATCTGATAGCTATGAAGATTAGGCCACAATATAAAATGTAAGAGATATTTTGATTCAATGGGCCACGGATTGCTTGGACAAGCTTTGATCTGACTATAGCAATAACTTAGCACTAGAGAAGGAGAGATTAGTAGCCTCTACGCTACTGCTAAATCCAGAGGCATTCGTTCAGAAATGTCTACAAAGTTCATGTGCTGTAAATTTCTTAGCTTTTCCTCTGTATCCTTCCCTTTGCTGAGTTTGTAACTCAAACAGGAGCTCTCACATTTCTTACCAAGTTGTACTTTTGATGCTCTTTTTGGATATGTCTTACTGCGACTTCTTTCAACTGTTTGGTTGGGTCGAGGGAGCTGGACAGAAATGTCTTTATACATCTGCAAAGCTGTCTTCCCACTAGAAAATGCAACAAATAAGTTAACTGAAAACTACCAAGTAGTTTTTGAAGAATGCAACATTTCACCTAGTATGCAGTACAGCTTTCAAAACTTAATCGAACAGATTAGGATTAATGGAACAAGGTGCCTATAAAGTGCCTTTAGACTAAAGTTACCATCTTCACTGCCATCGTCCTCCAAAAGCTGGTATGTATATCTACAAAAAGCTCTTTCATCCTAATCAACCTCTAAGACCTAAAAAATTAACCTCAACCCAACAATTACTATTTAATACAATATGAAGTCCTCTGCTTCACTTATTTAATCCAATGCCTGATCTTCAGTTTGTTTGCGCATGCTACAGTTGGTCACTTGCTAAAAGCCTGTCTTCAAGTTCATCCAAATCTGACATGTGACCTTAGGACCACAAGCTATTATCGCAAGCAAGACACTAGTAGGATGAATTTTAAACTATGACTGTTTCCAAGAGTAGAAACTGTTTACCCACCCTAGTGATTTTCATAATCAGTCCAATTTACTCTCATGGCATTCAAACCTCATTTCTCACAGTACTTTACCCTTACCTTGCTTTCTTTTCTAGTGGTAACTATGTCTTTAGACACAACTATGTATCCACATCAACATGTTGCAAAGCAGACTGAAGCAATTACTATGTAGTTTTCTTGGCACCAATAGAAAAATGATTTGTTGTTGCCTTCTTCCAAGATATTTCCTTGACTTCCTAGTCCAGCCTACCAAGATCAGTCAAGGTTACCTAGATATTGCCATTCAGCTGGGCAAAAAGATATACAAGTGGAATATCAGTAGGTGTGGCTCCTCTTCATTCTGAAAGACAAACTGCTATGCCATTCCCAATTTCCAATTCATAATAATCAATTTAGACTGATACACTAGGACAGGGGTAGGCAACCTTGGCTCTTTTATGACTCGTGGACTTCAACTCCCAGAGGAATTCTGGGAGTTGAAGTCCACGAGTCATAAAAGAGCCAAGGTTGCCTACCCCTGCACTAGGATATCTATGAAAGTGTCTTAGAGATATGCTTTCCAAGATTCAAGAATTTGGAGATCTGCCTTCAGAAATGGTGATTTGATTTTAGAAGCTTTCTCCGTGTGTCTATGGATAGTCCTCTGGTGCCAAACAGAAGGCAAAGGGAGTATGCTGGGAGAGCAAGGGGCTCCCCTGGGACCCAAAGTCCTCTGGTCCTCTGACATGGTTCTGGAAGAACAGAAAGCTATGCCAGAACAAGTAATGGAGTCATTTATTTTCCTGCCATGTGCATCAATGAGATGGCACTTGTTTGTAACCAAATAAGGTAATAAAAACAAAACGTGCTACCTTGCTGAAGAGTTTTGTCACCTTGGATTCTCCATCTCACACTCCAAAGGATTGCTCTGCTCATGTTTAACTTCTGCTTAAAGGTACCCTTGAATTACTCCACTTAAGTAGCAACAAAACTAGCTCCCTTTCCTAGGGGACCTTATTTGAAGTCCCAATATTTCTGTTTACAGAGCTGGCTGTACAATATTATTCATAATTCTGTTAAATGCTTCTACTTTTTTCTCTATTTGTTACTTTCTTTAGAAAGTTATCAAAGAACCTACATAAAGTGTCTCTTGTGTTAAGGGCCTAAATACAAAAACATTCTTTTGCGTATCCTTACTTTATTTCTTAGAATAATTTCTTGGACTATTTATTTTACTAAAATGTGTATTAATAATTATAAAAATTTCACAAAGAAAGTGCTAATTCACTAATAAGAAAAAAATAAACTGGAATAAAATATACAAAGATTCCATCATAAATTATACTAATCTGCTTTATCATTTACTTCCAGAAAGTATATTTATCCAATTTAAAAGTATGTACAGTTAACTAAACAATTTAGCAATCCCAAATGCCTACTTTACTGCAATATATACTCATATTCAGTTTCAATAGTGACATATTGTCTAATCCATAAATAATAAAGGGAGAGAGAGACAGTATGCTCACTGTATTTCTTTTAAAATAAGTAAAACCAAAACTGATCCAGACCAGTGAGGTAGTTTTAGAATGGGTCAACCCTTCAATATTTTCAAGATAAATTTTTAAAAGCAAGAAGGGAAAAGAAACAGCCATCAATAATTATTTTCTTTTTTTTTTAATTTATAATTTAATTCATTTGAATGGTGTCTACTGCATCTCAAAATGGTATGCAAAGCAGTTAACTGGGGAAAAAAATATATAAAGTGGGAAAAGGGGAAAGAATTCAGACAGACAAGGCTGTCTGGGTAATAAGTATCAGCAGAAACTTCAAACAAAATAGAGGAAGCACCTGCTATATTCTGAGCAAAGTTCCAAACAAATTCTATTGAAATGAAGGTCCACTTGTGCATTATTGTCAGATGACTGTGTAAGACACTGAGCTTAACAGTACAAAGACTAGTTCATTAATCAAGAGGCCATAATGGGAAATTATCATTTACTTTTGATTATCATATTTATGTATATAGTCTAAGAAGCTCCTTATGATAAAGAATCACAATTCCCAGCAATAATAAACTGTCTGGCCAAGGGTGGGAGATGCTGGCCATGGTAACTCAGGACCACCAGAGAGGCTATAGCTATTGGCAGCAGACAGACTCCTACAGGAAAACTTCAATTTTCAATTTCTATCTGACCAATCCTTTCTATCCTAAAATATCTTCAAATCAATGGGCCCAGCAATCAGCAGACTAAGACTCTATGAACCACAGAAATCGAGTGAAGCTAGCCAGTTTTAACACCTGATCTAACATGAGGGGTACAAATCAAGCATATTAAAAAAAATCAGGCCTGGAATAGCAATCTAATCGATATTATTGCCAATCAAAACAAAACCTTGAATTTGACTAAGTGGCTAATAGTCAAGAGGTGGAGCTGCTTTTGGTACAGATTAATGTTTTCACACCAGATGCAGTGAACAGACCTCCATTCTGCACAAGCTGTATTTACAACATTAGCTCTACACACAAATTACAGTTAGCAAAATAAATGTCAATTACAGTGTCCAGATTCAAGATTTAGTCTCTTAATGTAAGGAAAACTTACAAGAATTTCAGAATTCAAATGATGAACAATGTGTTCTGAAAATACTTTACAAAACAGTTTAGAACAAAGAGACATTTTACTGTTAATATGTGCTTTCCCACTTATTGTTGCATATCTGATCTAATAACCTTTTCAGGTTAAGCAAAACAAACTCAAGGCTTTGTCAAGCTTTGTTCTTGGATTTCCTTGCAAAATTTAACTTTGTTAGCAGTAATTCTCAGTTGCCACAACATAGAATGCTATAGAATGAGTGAAAATCATCCAATTGGATTTCTCTAACAATTAAAACTACAATTAAACAGAAAAGAACAACATCAAAACACTCTGCAGTTACTGAGATATATGCATATACTTGATGGGCAGAGCTATATATTACACCTTACATCATGGATTGACATATGTATAATTTGTCACATACATTTTATTTATAGTATATTTGATTTAAATCTGAGTTATCCAGCAAGTATGAATTAGACTTAACATCCTTTAATTCTATTTTTTAAAAGGATATTATTGTTTAGTTTAAAATATATTAACAAGTGTCCAGGGAATATTTTAACTGGAGTTTCCCAATAGGCAACACTGTCATACCTGTTTTCTAAATTATCTGCTTTGTTTGCTAACTTTAATTGTTGAGCAAAATAAACACCAAACTTCCAACACTAAGTGTGTGGGGGGGGAGGAGTGTGTGTGTGTGTGGGAGGAGGGTTATAATAAGAGAAAGAGAAAAAGAGGAGGAGGAAGAGAATTGTATAATTTCCTTCTAAAAGCAGTTAAATCTGAAATAGGTCACTGTGCCCAGTCTTAGCCTCACATTTGTCATTTGTCCCTATATATATTTATTTTAGCAGAAAGGGTTACAGGTAGTTGTTGACTTATAACCACAACTGGGACCTAAATTTCCACTGCTAAGGAATGTGATCATAAAGTATGATGTCACATGACTGCACTGTTTAGTGACAGCAATCTCAGCATTACCCCATTGCTGTCATTAACTGAATTCCACTGGTCATTAGTTGAGGATCCACCCCAATCCCTAACAGTCTTGATCCCTCCAAGCCCTGAGCTTCACTAAGGTAAAGGACTGTCTTCAACCCCCTCCATCTCCTTTCACATCTCTGTCCTTTTGGCCACACTGGGGTTCTCCAGCTCTATTTTTTTTTAATCATCACCCTTGTCCATTGGGTTTTCTCCTTGTGGAAAGCTGCTTATTTGCTCTTGCTATAAAATCTTTGTTGGGCTAATAAATGTTACTCCGTCCTTAAAAACAGAAATGTCACTACTTGTTGTTTAATTCTTCTTGTACTTTTTCCTCCTCAAACACCTGTATAAGCTTGCTATAAATAAAAGTCAAATTATTTTCAGGTAGAACATAACACTTCTAACAATTATTCAAAGCTGTGCATATCAATACTGCAAAATCAGATCCATTCATTATGGTTTATTAAATATTTATTAAATATTAAAAATAATTCTTTTTGTTTCTTTCTCTGGTTGACAAGTACACACCATTGACTTAGATGCAGAAAAGCAACTTCAGCTTAGGAGTGATCCCTGGCTTATAACATTTTATTTAGTGACCGTTCAAAGTTACAACGGCGCTGAAAAGAGTGACTTATAACCGTTTTTCACAACCCCTGCAGCATCCCTACGGTCAGGTGATCAAAATTCAGATCTTAGCAATTCACTCATATTTTTGACAGTTGTAGTGTCCTGGGGTCATTTGACCATCTTTTGTGACCTTCTGACAAGCAAAGTTAATGGAGAAGCCAGATTCACTTAACAATTGTTGTGTTCTTTGTATCCCCCCCCCTTAATCCCCTATGCATATCCTGATCACCCATTAAGGGTGATTGCCCTTCACCATTGATCGCCCATTAAGGGTGATTGCCCTTCTCCATCTGCATACAGTTTCATGCCCGTTGCTGGTTGGCTAACTAGCAACAGGGTCTTGCCAGCCAATGGAATTGTGTGATTACAAGCCAGGGGAATCCCATAAAAG